TTGAATCAATGCCACGTAGAATTAAGGCAGTTCTGAAGGCGAAAGGGGGTCAAACACCTAATTAGTATGGTGTTCCTAATAATCCTTTAGGTGAGTGTATACAGTGGTACCTCAGAACTAGAACTTAATCCATTCAGAACTCCGGATCGAATCCTAAAAAGCTCGAGTTCTGATCGAATTTTCCCCATAAGAAATAATGGAAAACCAGTTTAATTGGTTTGCGCATCCAGTCAAAACAACAGCGGTGTCCACTCAATGCACTGCGCTCGCTGCGGGGCTTCAGTGGGAAAAGTGGGCGTGGTTTTCAAAACACTCTTCTGTCATGTTGCACCGGCGGTCAGTCATGCCGATGTATCTGTGCCCGGTTCGGTGCCTTGTTTCTATTGATCGCACAACAATGTGTCACAGCGCGCAGTGGTCAAAATTCAACAAAATTCAACTTTGACTGTGGTGCTCGTACAAGCTCCACAAGCGGTGCGCGGTACCGCTCTGGCGCTGCGCTTGGGCTTTGTTCGGCGCAGCAGAAACTGTACTTGCGGCGCGCAAGCCTTAGGAAATAATGGGTTTCAGAGCACAGTGCAGTGCGCGCTGCGTTTGGTCTGTGAAGCCCTTTACCCTTTGTTTCTGCTTAGAGCGCCGCGTGACTCATTTCCCCGCACATACAATTTCTCTTAGGTCGGTGTTCACCATTTGACTTCTGAGATTCAAATCGAGTTCTAGGTAATTATTATTTTTTTTTTAACTGGTTGGTTTGACTTTTAAGAAATTCGAGTTCTAGTGAGTTCGAGAACCAAGGTACCACTGTATTAGACAATTGCAAAATCACCTTTCAGGAGATTGTTTCAATGAGCTGTAAGAGTAACAACAAATAAAAAAGACTTTTGCAAGTAGAATACATCAGACATAATGGCAAACACATATTGGACATATCAAACAAAATGTACAGGATACTCGCTGGCCAACAGTCAGTGTGTCGCATTTTACAGATTTTATAAAGACAGCATGCATTCCTTTACTTTGAATTGCAAACTTTCATAAAAAGAGGAGTGATACCTTGTTCCCCAAGATCAACACGAAGCATGAAATTATGCGCTGCAATTTAACAGAGGGACCCAGGAATCTGGTGTTCTGTGCAGAGGTAGTACATAGTAAAGAGGTTTTAGCATCTTTATCCTTGCCGTAGTCTGACTGCTAGAGTGGAATGTATCACAAAGGCTTGTAAATGTTATTGTTCATAATAATCTCATCAGCCTTTAATGCTGCTTCCACACCACTTGTAAAGCTTTATGAAAAATGCTTTCATTTTACCACAAGTTTTCCTTGTTCTCCTTTAAACTTTTTAAAAAGCCACTGCAGGTGTATGGAACCCATTTCCTTCAACCTCTATGGACTGTGAACTGGGATGGCCGTTCACTCATGCCACTTACTCACGTAGCTTACTCACTGGGTTGCGCCGCATGGCTCCGCCTACTGCCCTGGCCGCCCGGATGTTTCCAGCCATTTCTGCAAGACGCTTGTAAGAAATGGTCTCCCCAAACTTCACATATCTCAGAAGTGTGTGGAGCACTCGGCTGGTGAAGGTGTCTGAGGGCAGGGAGATCAACACAAAGCATGAAATTATGCGCTGCAATTTAACATATAACTGATGCATAATATCAGATGAGTGTGCTGATATTGGGGTTCATGAATAATCCACACATAATAAAAATAAAATAAATTATGAAACAACATCTTCATGTTGCCACAGCAATCACTATACTGTTTAATTAATGCCAAACAGGCCCCAAAGACCCCTAGGAGCTCAACTCAATCAAGGTTATACAAGAATACTATTATTATATAAAATAACTTTGTTCATTAATTTATATGGAGAGGCACAGCAATTTTTTTTTTTTAAACAAAACTCTTGAAAAAATGGACATGGCCTGTGGTAACAGGTTGACTTTGGAGTTGATCACAAATTTACCATTTTTTGCTTTCTATTCAGAGTAAATTAATTTGGATTATATATGTGACTATATTGATGAAGGAAACGAAGTAAAGAACATCATCACAGCATCAATAGCTTTTTGGTTGATTAACTCTGAGGTATACAAGCATCTTGCTGCCAGGATGCTTGTTTCGGGCAAACACATTTACTGTTTACTATGATTACTTAGAAGAGGGATTACTTATATCATGTCTGTTTCTTCACCTTGTTAACATTTTGCACACCCTGAATTAAGGGAACTAAGAAGTGGGATTTGTGCTTCCACTTAATGACACCAACTCCCCCAAGAGGCACCTCCCTGGGGTCCCACTTTTGTTCTGTGTTCTTTTATAGCTTCCAGGACTAGATAATCATTACCCATAAAAAGCAGTACATTTTCTGAATGGTTATTACCAAACAAATTTTCTAATTTAATCTGGCATGACATAGGTAGCATACTTGAAGTACCACTTGAAGTTAGAACCACCTCCTCTCTATACACCCCCACAGAATGCCTCCTAGTGACAGAGGGCAAGCATCAGGCTCATTTCCGGTAACTTGGAAGTGACACAGAGTATAAAGAGACACACCTGATTAAATTCCCCAGAGTAACATTCTTCACCCAGAATCACCATCAAGGGTAAAAGACAACTGCATCAGCATTGACAGGGCTGTCAGAGATGCACATGAAGGAAGCCCTGACAAGCTTGCATTTATCTGCTCTGGAAAGTGGGCTTCTTTGGAGATTAATCTCTGTAACATCACTGGGCGCTTGACGTGGGGCAGTCAGTTTCTCAGTGGGGGGAGCGTAGCAGAAACACCTGACTTTGGTTCCTCACTTATTCATGAGGCAGTTGACAGAGGAGAAAATGACAACATTATGTCCTGGCCACCCACAGGATATTAATCACTGCTATAAATACTGGTGATCTGTTACCATTTAGTAAAACAAGGAGTTTGCAGATGTAGTGTCACTGTCTCAGAATCTTAATAGTAATATTGTCATAATATACTGAGTGAATGTGTTTAGTGTTTGTAATAAAAGTAAAATAACTGACCTTTTTACAAAGGCATATAGTACAACTGAATTGTAGTGTTGTGGCTTCAAATCCTTACCCAAGTTCAGGTTTCTATAGTATATAAATTGTAAGAGGCTTTTTCTTTTAGATTTGTCAGAAAATGAATGAGCAGATTCATATGTAGATAGAGCATCTTCAGTCCTGAGCCTCAGAGCTTCCAGTAGGCTTTCTGTCCTCAGAAGAAAGGCATGTTTCCAGCAAAGACCTTAGTGAGGCAGCTGTGATGTGGACTGCGGGTTTATGAAAAGATGAAGAGCCCATGATTGTAGGTGCTACAGCCAGTCACAGCCCCTTTACACTGAGCTTTACACTGCCGTCGGAAATCCCTCGAAAGGGACATTGGGTCATTAAACTGCATAAGGGAGCAAATTACATTGGCTTCCCAGGAGTTGACGGGCTGGGAGCTGATGTGTTCCTATCGATCAGCAGAACCCAATCACATGATTTTATGTTTAACATGTTTATGGATAGGCCAGAATTATTGCCAATATAGCTGTAATACAACTTGTGAAGAATCCTACTTGGGGAGACAACAACAATCTAACGTGCAGTGCATGTGCGTGGCAGACTCTGAACCTAGTTATCTGGCTGAAACTGGAGGAAAGAAAACATAACAGCATATAAGATGACAATCTGCAAATCAATTAAAGGAAATGGAAGATCCAATTAAATCATGAATCACATTTTTATAACATTCACCCCACTATGTGTGCAAGATCCACAGCTCAACGAGTATTTATAACTCCTGCCTGACGAAAGGGAGAATCCCATTTTGAGAAAGACCTAATGAAGAACTGAACATATTCTGACAACTTCATTAAAACCATAAAGATTTCAGTTGTAACCTACGGTGCTCGGGGCAGCCGTATCAGAGCGAGGGCTGCCATCCTAATTGCTGCTGATGTGTTTCTGCATAGCCGTGCTGTAGCAGAGCACCTTGTTCAGGTGGCTGTGCCCTCTTCTTTCATGCTCCAAAAGCAAAGGCACTGTACTCCTGGTTTTTGAGCAACCTTACTTCACTCGTCTCACATACATTACAGACAGCTTCTCCCATATCATTTTCCACTACGAAACCACTAACGATTTAATCACTACAGTTAAAACAGGTGAAACACTGCAGGAAACTTGCTCATGTTCTAGTCTGAATATACACTCACCTAAAGGATTATTAGGAACACCTGTTCAATTTCTCATTAGTGCAATTATCTAATCAACCAATCACATGGCAGTTGCTTCAATGCATTTACAGTAGGGGTGTGGTCCTGGTCAAGACAATCTCCTGAACTCCAAACTGAATGTCAGAATGGGAAAGAAAGGTGATTTAAGCAATTTTGAGCGTGG